GCTCTTTGACACAAATGGGACAAACCTTGTTTAACAAATGTAACGATAACAAAAATCACAAATAGCGGATGTGTAGAAATGGAACAGGTGTTAGTTTGAGTGCTTATTTAGTAGCTTGTTATATTGAGGCTGTAGCAACATACTTCAGCTGCACGTGCACAGTGCACCACAGTGTTCATCAGAAAAAGTGTGCATATAAATAATTATTTCAACAGAATGATAACCACTTCCACATTGACAGGATTATATGGCAACAGTTCCACAAAGTGGAATTCACCTTGCCATAGCCACGTGCTCAGACACCAGCTGTCAGCCAATACAGCATTGGGAAGAACTGGAGATAACATTATTCTGTCTCTGGGAACACTTGGACTTCTTTGCACATTTGGTGCCTTGATTAATTACAGCTTAACCAAGCGGGAACCAACTAAACCAATTTTGAAGAAGGAAATGTCTCTGAATGATTTTACATGTAGTCTCTATTGAATACTAATAGTTGGTTTAAACATTATCAGTCTGTCACTTGTCAGCATGGTGGTTAGGTGTCATCAGACCTGGTTTAACCTTTCACACATGGGGGCGGCTGTGGCTCAGGAGGTAGAGCGGGTTGTAATGCCTTTGGTTAAGATATAAGTTAAATAAGATAGAACAGTTTCATAGTTAAAAGCACAAATACAACAGTTAGAATCTTGGTTTGGAAAACTCATCAGAGTGAGAGGTCTTCACGCTGTGTATCTCTGGGATTGTGAAAAAATATAGAGTGAGAGCTCTCACCAGAGTTAGAAGATCTTGGACGTCTTTGTTGAAGGGAGAAGTTAACAGTTTCTCGGTATTTCCAAACTTTTCTTAGACTCATTATTCTTCTCCTAGTGCTTGTGCTTGTGGAATTCTATGTCTTTGTAAGTAGTGCTGTATTAAGTAAGCTTTTTCTGTTATAGTAATTGCTGTCATTTTACGTGTTGTGTTTCCGTGTGCTAATTGCAGTTGTTTTGATGTTTCACGTAGCAACGTCATGTATGCTAATTTGTTTTTTGCATGATTCTGTTTACAGTTACAATATAATAAGGAATGATAAGGATAAACTCCATTTGAAAAGAAAAGAAAGCCTTGTGTGGAGCATCAACCCTTTTATTTGTTCGCTGGCTGTCTAGTGTCACGAAAGTAGACGTGTATCGAGGACAGCACAATGACACCTAAAAATTTGATTTAATACACTTTTTCTATATTAACTCCCCCTACCCTTAATTGGAGTTGATTATCCAGCCGTCAATTACCAAATACCATAAATTTGGTCTTATCCAATTATGTGACTTATGTGACTATTAGACTAGCTGCTGATTAATCTTCTGTCGATCAACTCATCTGTGGTCTCAATTCGGACACTTTGTTTAAAATGCATACTGAGCCCAGAGTAATACAGCAGCACTAGTGTGTGTCAGAGGGAAGAAGCCAGACTGTCACTAGTCAGCTGTGTGCTGTGTGTGCATGCAGGTTGGAAGGGGAACCTGTGTGAGCGCTCTCTGGCCTCGTGTGCGTCGCTTCTCATCCTGCTTCCCTGTGCAGTACTGGCTGTTTACTACCTGCTGCTGCAGACCTTCGTCCTGCGGCTGGAGTTCCTCCTCACCGCCGTCCTGCTCTGCTTTTACAGCCTCGAGTTCCTGCTCGGACTCCTCGCCATATCCACCTTCTCCAGGTGACCAAATCCTCCAGGTTTAGTCCCGATCATTTGTGCTCATTTTGAATCTTTCATTATTATTCTTTTTTGATTTTCGCTGTAGGTCCACATCGTACTGAAGAAGAAACCCTGAGTTCACCTGAAACACAAACATGAGGGAAAATGTGCAAAGATTTTTACAGTTGCTACATTGTAAATAAAACATTGTCTATTTTGCTAAAGGTGATATATATAGCAAATAGTTTGTACTGTTGGTTTTATACAAACTGTACAAAGAAGGTGTCGACCTTGAGCTCAGGACATTTTGTACATAAAGTCTAGTTCATTACACACTATTATGATGGACATGTAAAAAGACCTGAGTTGAAACAAACTACTTGTTTTGGGTCTATTTTTGTTGTTTTGAGTCACTTTTTGTCATTTGGCATATTTTTGTAGTCCTTTTGTTGTGTTCAGTCTTTTCAGTCGCTTTAGTCACTTTGTGTCTCTTTTTCAGTGGTTGTGTAGTTGTTTTGCATCTGTTTGTTTCCCCTCATTTTACATTTTGTGGCCATTCTCTAGCTATTAGATTGACTTTTTAATAGAAAGGTTAACAGCGCCTTCACTGTTCTCTGGTCTAGGGGCTCCCTGACCCGTTGGGCCCCTGGGCCTGTGCCCCGTAGGCTCGTTCAGTAATCCATCCATGCATGTAGTGTTCATAACTCGTGTCTGAGTCAGTGTCAGCAGCACACAAGGAGCCAAAGTTAGGAACAATATAGAAATCCCAGACTACAGTACAGGGCCAGACTGAAGGGAAACACAAAACATTATAAGAATACAGTTGGTTGGCAGTTTATTAGGCTAGGCAGAGCACAGATTTCTGGCACAACTTCACCCACTGTCAAGGTGCATAGACCAAAGAAAAATAAACTGGAAAGGCAAAAAGTCCAGCAACACTTGTAGTGTAGAGAGCAACTTTAGTGATAAGATGTTTAAGCTAGGTCAGAGCTGTCTGTGAGTAACATCAGCAGAAAGAGTCACTCAAGCTGCACCTGGTTCCTGGCCTGGCTTGATATACAGCAGACATCTTTAGGCGGTGCAGTCAGTACTAAATACTAGTGGAGTCAATGTCTGGCTGGTATGAAAGCGACATGCTCCATGACACTAACTCAGCCACAATTATCACTGACCTCAAAGGACACTGTTCAGTTCCTGCCACCCCGCACACATCTTAGACATCAACAGAGCGTTTATGAGCCAGCGCTTTAAAGACTTGGCCACACAATGACACATTCATGTTACCAGCAGCCATGCAATGTGGCACACAACTACTCTCACCTTCACTGGGACAGATGTCATGGGCCTGTCAGCAGATCCCAGGCAGTGTGTACCTACCTACCATCTAAATGAATTCAGAGCACATATTTAGACACAGGCGCCTTGTGTTTAGGTCCATATGCCAAGTAACAAATACATTGCATTGGGACTTACAGTATGTGTGTTTGTTCGCAGTAAGTGATATTACTCTTCTTCTCTTTATTACAAATAATTTAAAACAATATTTTTCTCAAACTCTTGTGTCTATCTATATCGTTTTTTGGTGCAGGTTTTGTATGAATTCAGTAAAATTCTATTTAACTTTCTCACAATGAACTTTCTACAGTTTTAATCAGAATATTTTGTAGGTCCATAGAGTTGGCCACTAACTGGTGGGACTCCTCCATTAAGGAAATTCATACTAGCTCAGTTTTTGCTCAGTTAGTTCAAGGTGCTGCTCAGGATTCATTTTTCCAAAGCACAGTTAGCACAGATTTGCTCTGCTATCATTGATAGTTGTGACAAATGCTTCATCATAAACTTTGATTCCTATTCCTGTCCATGATTACACAGTTTTTAGCAAAACTACTTTTACACCCTGTCAGACATTCTTTCTGCTTAAATAGCTGTCTCCCCTCAGTTTCCAGAAGACCATGTTCAGTACTCCTCTAAGCACTTACTGTAGATAGAGCCTTTTCTTTCTCTTCCTTGTCTTTACTGGACAAGAGGCTCAAAGATGTAATGCCTTTTTGAAGGCTAGACAAAATTAAGTGCTCACTGAAAGGGTCCTCTGACAAGTTTATAATAAATAGGAATCTGTAATATCTTACTTCAGCTCTTTTAAGTTGCTCCACCCCTGAGTGATACCCCCACCTTTCATTTAATTTAATTATTAACATTTTATTTACTTCAGTTCTGGTTGGTCCATCGAGATATACTAACCATCAGTGAGCTCTTGCTACTTAAACTTATCCCATGTCTCATAGTTTAATGAATGATCTGTTGCTTTATATTCCTTGAAAAATAATACAAAGCTGAATCAAAAATAATATTTTATCTGCTTCCAGCTGTTATGCTAAGATAGCTTAGCCACTTCCTGTATTAAGCACAGACATGACACTGAGATCCATCTTAACGTCTCTTTCCCAGAAGGAAAGACAAAGTGTTGAACGACTTCTTGACAAACTAAGTGCTTGGTGTTTTGCTGCAGCAGCTGTGCCAGTGTATTTTCCTAGTCCTGACACTAATGTGATGATGCCACTGTTTTAGAAGCAGAGCTGAAATCAATAGATGGCACTCTCACACAGAGCAGAAGCTCAGGTTGACGTCCGGCCTGTGTCACTTGAAGTCTTGATCAAAGGCATAACTTTGCTCAGGCAGTTTGCCTATTGGTGACAATAAATATCAATTTCAAGAAAATAGGTAGAGCTATTTTAACCAGTGAAGAATGCACAGAAATGTTCCAAAAATGACAAACTTCCTTCCCCACACTTTGTTTTTGCATATTTAATATGAAGTTGCAGAGCCTGATCAACTTTTGTAGAGAAAGTTTTCTTCCTCAAGCCGTCTTTAATCTCAGATGACTAATTTAACAGTAAGTGAACAGGCAGAATGTGACTGCTGGCATTGACAAGAGGATAAAGAAAGCTGGATTCTGCCTTGGCCATCAGCGCCGCTCCTCCTGACCTGCACGTTTGTGCTCGCAGGGCATTTGTTCTGCTTGTCAAAGTCGCCGGCCAATTGGGTGAAGCTCGTATTAAAGAGATCAGTGTATTTGCATGTCTTCACGATGGCTGCCTCTCTCCTTTCTCTTTACGAATATAAAGCAGGCAGATCTTAAAGCTGAGAGGTTTCATTACAGAGTCTATCGCTGCTGTGCAGCTCCTGCCACACAAATTAAATTGTGCCACTTTGTTGAACACCGACCTCTGTTCATAACTGCAGTTTCATCTCCACAGAGTGTCCACAGTTGTCAGCCTGCACAAAAACCTCTAATAAAAACTCACCACAGACACATTGCAATTTATATTTTTGACATATTTTCTTTAAACTGAAAGACTTCTTTAGCTGTCTTAAAAGTTTGAGGTCACATTCTGTATTAAAATTAACTGCAGGAACGGATAATACATAAGAACATCTCGGATGCAACTTAAAAACAAAGCTTTTCCTTATCTACTTAGGCAAACATTTGATCATATGCTGCTGGTGGAAAGCCCAGACTCTGACATGAGCAAAGAAAGAGATAAACACATCTGCCAGTTTGGCCCAAAGGCCAAATTCCCATCTGCTGTGCCAGACCATAATAGATCTAGTAACCTACAGTACACATTTATCAGTGAATACTGTCACAGTATAAATGTACACTCGTCAGAAAAGGATCAGGACAGGACTGACCCAGAATTCACGGCTCAGGATTTGATAGTTTCTAATTCAGAACTTTAACAATCTATTTCCAGCGGTTTCATTTGCCTGTGCCTAGCTCAGTATTTGAAATATGGGACGAGCCTAGTATTCATCCACTGTATGTTAAATCTGTTCTGATGCTCAGTGAATGTTAAACACATATTACATTAATCAAATTAAACCTGTTGTCTTCATATAGAGCTACATGTTCAAGTCGATATAGACACATAAATATTTAATCTTACCGGACACTGCATCATATTGTCATGGTGCACTCAGTGGTCTTGTATTTACCGGGCTGAGGTTTCCTGTGGCGTGAGCATTAAGCCTCCATTCAGTCATAGTTCTGTCTGTGCACCAGTAGGTGTCAGTAGAGCTCCATCAGCAGTAGCTGTTAACCCTGGAGATGACGGAGAGCTGACAGAAACACAAGAACACAGAGGAAGAAATCCAGGGGTGCAGGAGAGAACCCCAGGAAGTGCATGAGTAGACGAAGAAGAGACATGAGGAGATACTGAGATGAAGGAAGATCAGAGAGAGAAGAGATCATGTGACCACTGACTTTGGTTAATGAGATAGAATAGATGAATGACCTCATCATTAGACTGGTGACCATAAGAGATTCTGACGACCCCATCCTGAGGTTATGTCTTGTTAAAGGGTTAAAATCTCATTTTAAGACACCACTCTTCTCCGTTTTGTTGTGCTGACAAGGTGCCATATGTCAGAGTGAGACCTACTGTTCGGACCTTGAGGTGAAATACAGTGTTGTCATGCACAGTCTGCAGTGTGCACTTAACCTTTCCAGATCCCAGCCAAAGAGTGTTTTTATTTGCTACTTCTATCTTCAGTCATAGTTGCACTACACTTTTTTCAGAAGAAGCAGCAGCACTATTTAAAACTGAAGCTTTATTTCATGTAAAGAGCTGCAGTCAGGATCTATAATAGATCACGTACAAATGTAAGATTCACGATCATCAGAAGCATAAGGCCACTAGTCAGTGTAACCTGCAAGATTTATAATAAGAGCCTACTACAGCCTCACAACTGAAACCATGTCACTGACTGTTGTGACTCCATAGAGTTTGATGCTCAGCACCTACAGTGTAAAGAGCACCAGAACCAATGAATAACAGGCAGCTGAACTGTACTATGTCCTGTCTGATTCTATCCATGGGAAAGATGCTCAAATGATGCTTGGACAGTTGTACCAACACACAAAGACGAGTAACAGCTACACAGCAGTTCAATTAAAATGTTGATTTAAAATCAACCAGTCAGTTTGTGTGTGAGCCTCATGAAAGGAAAAGGGAAATCTGATTAATCGCATTGTAAATAATCTGTTAAATGCATCAAGTGAGCCACCAGATGTGAAAAATTCTGTAGTGTTTGAGTTTTTATACTTATGAAGGTGAGGAGGTGAAGCAGCCAATGAGAGCGTCACAAGGAGCAGGAGGAGGCGGGGCTTCCAAAGACAGACGGATGGATGTGTCCCTCTCTCCTCGCTGCTGCCATGACAGAAAGCACACAACGATGATTTACTAGGTAAGCTTTTATTCATGCCTTGTCCCCGATGAATAAAGATCAAATTAGAGGTTTATGAGCTCGGCTTGTCTATCCTGACATTTATATGAGCTCTGGGCTCGGCTCGCTGTGATTTATGTTTACAGCAGCGTAGGAAGGAAAAAATAAATAAAAAACCAAATGAAGTAGCCTGAAATCATATTGTGATGCTTTGTCAACACAGAGAGACAGAGAGGGGTGGTGGCTGAGGAGGAAGGTGGAGGGGAAGGAAATCCTACAGTCACTGATGAAATGTACCAAAGCACTTAATTTAACTTGAAGCATAAACTGACCTCTGAACCTTAGCAGGCAGAACTGTGCCCGTAGCACCTACAAGTCTTGCTGATTTATTCTTTTGTCAGATTTTTCCTGATTCCAATTTTACACTTAATTTTATTTAGACAAAGAAAATGCTTTATTTTTCAGGTCTGTAAGTTCATGTTCACTCCCCAATAATCTGGAAAGGTTCCTGGGAAAGGACCACATTATTGTTAACATCAAAAAGTGATCAGTTGGTTCTAGTTATTTCTAAATGCTAAGCTATAGCACAAACTAGAGGCTTTTATTCAGAGGACTCAAGGTGAGCCATGCACGCAACGTGTTACA